GTTTGATTCCTGGTCTGGGCACATGCCCAGGTTTCTAGCTTGGTCCCCAGTGTGGGGTGTGAAAGGCGCAGCCAATAGATGATTCTCTCTTATCATTGATGTTCCTTTCTCTCTCTCCCTTTCCCTTCCTCTCTGAAATCTATATAAATTTATTTTAAAAAAGATATTAAAGATCATTGGTATTGCCCCTTTTAAATAATTCACCCTTCAGTTGGCTCTTACTTCCCTTTATCTTGTTGATCACTGGGAGGGGGTGAAGCTGGGGACACTCTGAGGTCCAGCTGCCCCTTTAGGAGCTCTCAATGCCCCACCTGGAGGGGACGGGGGCAAGGCACTCACTGCCCAGAGTCTTGCAGCTGCTTATAACCCCACTCCACCCCAGCCCATGTCCCAGCCCCCAATCCAACCCGCAGTGAGCTCAGCACTGATGGGGAAGGGGAAGTGGGTTGCTAGGAACAGGGGTTGGTTTGGGTTCTGTGGGTGTCCCCGCAGCTTCCTGAGGCCTTCATTTCCTAGAAGCAGAGGGCATGCAAGGTTGACAGCTCACCCCCCATTTTCCTCCCACAATAGGGACTTGGGGTGAAGGAGACAGAAAGGTGTCCCCCCACAAGGCATCACAGCCTCTTGCTTCTCTTCTCATCACTTTGGGTTCCATCACCCGACCTCCATTTATGTCCACATTCAAGCAGACACACTCCTTACCCTCCAACCTTAGATTCCCCAAGTCCCAATCCCAGAAACTCAGAAGCCTGGGCTAATCTTGGGGACCCAAGCCCGGAGGCACATATGTGGTCCCCCCACCCACACTCTGCCTCAGGTCAAGGCCCCAAATAGCTGGGCTTCTATACAGGGTGTCCCAAAATAATGTATGCACAATTGAACAGCTGCCAACTCAATTTTGAAAATAAAATGTATTTTAATGAACACTGCCTTTATAATTATTCAGAGTGTGTGTATAAATTTTTGAAGGGAAACCCTATGTTTAGGAGTTCCCTCAGCAGTGCCAGGGAACTACAAACATGGCCCAGCTCAACACTGCCTTCCAACTCCCTGGGCTGGGCTGGGCTGTGCTGGGTGGGGGTCAGGGCTCAGGAGGATGCCAGCTGGGACTGGGCAGGGTCTGACCAGGAGTATGTGGTCAAGTGGATTCTGAAAACCTGGCCTGGGGGGAACCCAGGTGTCCAGCCTGCAGGAGGAGACAAAAGGGTCCATTGACCCACCTGATCCTGGGTCTGGGGTCAGGGCTGGCCAGCAGCCTCCCACCCCCTTTCCTCACTCTCTGGTGCTTCCTGCTTGGGGACAGCTGTCTGGCCTCACAATAGCTGTGCCGCCCTCTTATGTCCCCCTTCACCCAGAGACCCCAACTGACCCTCACCTCAACTGGGGCTTGGAAGGGTGCTGGACGTGGGCTGGTGGCACAGGAAGGGGCCAGGACATTGAGGTCCCCTCATCTTCCGCACAGCAGAGGGCATTGCAGAGAGGACAGTCATCCAACAGCCACAGGCTGGGGGTGATCATCTGGGCAGTTGACCAGGAACCTACAGGTTCACGCTCCTCAGGGAATCACTGTCCATTCCCTGCAGATCACTCCGCTGGGGAAGGGACCGAACAAAGTGGGAGAGAGGCACCTGCACAGTGAAGTCAGGCGAAGAGGGAAGGTGGTCGCCTGTCAGTCTAGCCTGGGGAACAATGGATTGGCTAGCAGGGGTGTGGACGTCGGGCCCTCAAATTCATTTGGTCTGGCCCTGCCAAGGCATTAGGGTTTAGGAAATTTAATGTTGGACCAAATATAGCAGGCTAATTTTTTAAGTTGCTAATTTTGTATGGCCTGTGAATGATGTTATAAATATCCAAATGGCCCTTGGCAGGTAAAGGTTCTCAGCCCTGGGCCAGGGGATGGAAACACACACAATGTGAGAAGGTTCAAATCCCCAGAGTCCTCTCTCTCTTCTTCTTGTGCTCCCTGATGGTCTGTGACCCGCACTCACACCTGCGTTCCAGTGCTCCCACCTATAGCACGTGACCTTAAGCAGGCTGACTGCACTGGATTTTAATAGGGAACAGAAGTTCTGGGCAATGACCTTAATTCTGGGCCTGCTGCAGACAAGCTTGGACTTCTTCCCTGAGGAGATGAACAGAGATGGGACCTTGGAGGGGAACCCGCTTAAGTTTTCATCATTAATAAAGCTTTCCACGAAACCCCATCTCCCCCTGGGGCTTCAGCAAATCTTTTCCTTGCAGCACCCCACGAACTCCACTTCCACTGATAACAATGGGATAATCTGAAATAAATCTCAAACTAAAAACTAGTCATGGAAAGTAGTCAAGTCTTAGACCTGTATCTTCCTTGACAAAGGCCAATCTTTACCTTCACTGAGCTTGTCTGTTGTCTTTTGGCATCTACATAACATATCTTTGCAATGACAGGGTAATTTCCTTTTTTCCAGACCCATCGGGGCACAATCTCCCACCTAGACAAGAGATCACACAACCTCTCACTGTTATTGTTACCATGAGAATTGCGAACTCTTACCTTTCCTGTACCCACCCACGTAAAGGAGTCTGTGTCTGTTCCTTTTACTTTTTATCCAATCCCAGAGATTTCTGTGCCTGCCTCCCTGATCTACCACCAGTGGATTTCTTGTAACCCCCTTAGGCCTCTTGCTTTGATTGTAATGTATAAAATAATGTGCAAAACTGCCATTCTTTATTTAAATTAAATCTTTATTGTTCAGATTATTACATTTGTTCCTCTTTTTTCCCCCCACAACCAATTCCCCTAAACCCAGTTCCCACTCCACCCTCCGCCCTTACTCCCCACCCACTGTCCTCATCCATAAGTGCACGAATTTTGTCTAGTCTCTTCCCGCATCCCCCACACCCCTTTCCCCCCCAAGAATAGTCAGTCCATTCTCTTTCTATTCCCCTGATTCTATTATAATCACCAGTTCATTCTGTTCATCAGATTATTTATTCCCTTGATTCTTAGATTCACTTGTTGATAGATGTGTATTTGTTGTTCATAGTTTGTATCTTTACCTTTTTCTTCTTCTTCCTCTTCTTAAAGGATACCTTTCAGCATTTCATATAATACTGGTTCGGTGGTGATGAACTCCTTTAGCTTTTTCTTATCTGTGAAGCTCTTTATCTGACCTTCAATTCTGAATGATAGCTTTGCTGGATAAAGTAATCTAGGTTGTAGGTTCTTGGCATTCATCACTTTGAATATTTCTTGCCACTCCCTTCTGGCCTGCAAAGTTTCTGTTGAGAAATCAGCTGACAGTCGTATGGGTACTCCCTTGTAGGTAACTGACTGTCTTTCTCTTGTTGCTTTTAAGATCCTCTCTTTGACTTTTGCTCTTGGCATTTTAATTATGATGTGTCTTGGTGTATTTGTCTTTGGATTCCTTTTGTTTGGGGTTCTCTGCACTTCCTGGACTTGTAAGTCTATTTCTTTCACCAGGAGGGGGAAGTTTTCTGTCATTATTTCTTCAAATAGGTTTTCAATATCTTGCTCTCTCTCATCTTCTGGCACCCCTATAATTCGGATGTTGGTATGCTTGAATCTGTCCAGAGGCTCCTTACACTATCTTCGTATTTTTGGATTCTTTTTTCATTTTACTTTTCCAGTTGGGCGTTTTTTGCTTCTTCGTATTTCAAATCGTTGACCTGATTCTTGCGGTCCTCTGGTCTGCTGTTGGGAGTCTGTATAGTATTCTTTATTTCAGTCATTGTATGCTTAATTTCTAGTTGGTCCTTTATCACAACATCGAGGGTCTCATTAGATTTCTTGAGGATCTCACTACATTTATCGATGGTCTCACCAGTCTTTTCGAGGGTCTTACTAAATTTATCAGCAGCTTCTTGACAGTTCTTGAACAACCTTAAAAGTGTGGTTTTGAACTCAATATCCAGCAGTTTGCTTTCCTCCTTTTCTGTCATTTGTGTCTTGTTTTTTTGTCTCCGCATTTTTTATGCTTTCTTGGTGTACCCCCTTGTGGTCTTTGTGCACAGTCTTGTTGTAGTTAAGCCTTGCTTGTTGTAGGTAACACTGGGGGGAATTTGTCCTCCAGGCCAATTGGCTGTGAGAATCAGCTGTGTCTGCAGTGGGAGAACTTCTGTCCTGGATCTTTAGGGAGGTGCTAATCTAGCCTCTGCCTGAGGCTATCCAGCAAATGCCTCCGTGCAAGGCTTGGGCAGGGCGGGTCCCAGGGGATCAACAGGGCGGCAGAGCGACCAGTTATGGCTGCTCTCAGTCCTGCCTTCAGAGGGTCTGCTTCTCAGTGTCCTACCAATTCCTGCAAGTACCTCAGAGAGAAAGCTGCCCTCGAGTTCCGACCAACGCCAGACAGTCCCACTTCTTCCGTTTGAGTCTGGGTCCCCAGAGACTCGCCCGAAACTGGAGCTCAGAGCCTGAGACTACCTCCCGATTGAAAACGAAAACCGTGCCCTCAGCCGCCAGCCCGTTCCGCATGCACCTCCACACCTTTGTATTTTACTTCCACACTGCGCCTCCTCTGAGTCTCGGTATGCTTTTCTCTTTCCTTCTAGTTATAGAATTTCCACTCAGCCAGCCTTCCTGTGGTTCTGGGTGATGTCCGTTCCGTCTTTTAGTTGTATTTTTGAAGTGGTTGTGCGAGGCAGCAAACTCCGGTGTTTACCTGTGCCGCCATCTTGGTTTTTCTCCTCCATTGATTTTTTTCAAAACTGACATTCTTGAGATAATTTTCTCAATCTGTTGGGATTTTGCTTCTAGGCAGTTGCTGTCAGTTTGACTTAAATAAACTCATAAAAATTCTCTGCAGGTTTGAATGTTTCTTCGGTTGACAGAGGGGAACAGAGTGTGGGGACAGGAGCCAGGGAGAAGAAGTCAAAACAATAGATGATTCTGTGGAGGGTGTGGAGACAACGCCCTGAGGCAGTGCCCACACCCCCCCCCCCCTTCACACACAGTATAAAGGCCAGGAGGCCTCAGAAGGATGCACAGCTGCCCAGCCTGGTGACACAGAACCACCCTGCACAGACCATGGGAGGCTCCCACCTCATCGCCTTTCACATCCTACAGGGTGAGAATTTGGGGGCCCCTATGGGAGAAGCAAGGGAACCCCTGGCAGCACCCCTTCCATGCCTCTGCTTCCTTGTCTACCCACCCCCCACCGAGGACAAATAGGAACCTCTGGAAGCTCTGGGCCTGACATGGAGGAATCCACATGGTTAGGCGGGAGCCGCAGCACATGGGAGAACAGCTGGCAGTGCTCGGGAACCCCCACGCCCAGCAGGAACCCCTCTGGTGCTCTAAGGGTCTGTTCCCCACCCCAGAGGGATCTCCAAGCTCCTTCCAGATCCACTTTGGAAGCTGCTCCCTAAGAGGGGAAACTGAAGCAGGTGGAAGAGAGGGGGCAAATGAGTGCTGTGACCCCCTCAGGAAGTCACTCTTAACAGATGGCAGAGTGGGGGCTAGGGAGCTAAGGGGGACCCTTCCACAGCAGGGTGACCCCCACACTTCTCCCACTGTGTGGTAGAGGATGCCCCGGAGACTCCCCATTTTTGCTCCCCCAGACCCAGCTGGGACTCAGCTGTGCCTTGAAGGGCTTTGCTGCTGTGGATTTAAAGTGAGCTCTGCTGTGACTTCCCCTTTGCCTCCCTTCCCGCCCCACCCAGGGTGGCTCTAGCAGTGGTTCTCAATCTGTGGGTCGCGACCCCTTAACTACATCCTGCATATCAGATATTTACATTACAATTCATAACAGTAGCAAAATTCCAGTTATGAAGAGGCAAAGAAAATAATTTTATGGTTGGGGGTCACCACAACATGAGGAACTGCATTAAAAGGTCGCGACATTAGGAAGGTTGAGAACCACTTTGCAAGGATTATCAGGTTATCAGGGCAGCTCATTGCCTGGGCAACCAGGCAACAAAGAGAGTTAAGAAATGACATTTGGCTTCCCTAACTGGTTTGGCTCAGTGGACAGAGCATCGGCCTGAGGACTGAAAGGTCCCAGGTTTCATTCCGGTCAAGGGCATGTACCTTGGTTGCAGGCAAATCCCCAGTTGGGGGTGTGCGGAAGGCAGCTGATCAATGTTTCTCTCTCATCAATGTTTCTCTCTCATCGATGTTTCTAACTCTCTAGCCCTCTCCCTTCCTCTCTGTAAAAAATCAATAAAATATATTTAAAAAAGAAAAAAAAGAAATGACATTTGGGGTGCCACTCAGAACTTCCAAAGGCCACAGGGATGGGGCTGCCTGTGCTGACCCAGGGTGCCAGGCGTGAACTGTTTTTTATTTTGTTGTTGTTTGTTTGTTTGTTTGTTTTTATCAAGGTGAGGTGTAATTTACATAGCATGTAATTCGCCTGTTGCAGGATTACAATTAGATGATTTTTAGTGAATTTGCCTAGTCCATGTGGAACACAGCTGAAGGCGGCGATGTGTCAGGGGCAAAGTCACAGAGCCCCTGATCCTCACTTTCCACATCTGTGAAATGGGGCAGAGCAAGGCTGGTCTCCACTTTACAGGCTTGTGTTAAGGATTGAGTCCTGGTTCACAGTGAGAATTAAGTAACATTATTGTTGTTGCTGTTGTTAACGTTACTATTATTATTATTTCACTGGTAGGTCTTGGGTATGGGCTGCAGGAGGGGGATCTTTAGCAGGAGGAGCAAGGAGAGAATGACTGCCCCACCCCTGCCACAGGGACCCCAGGCAGGAATCTGACTGCTCAGGGTTCAGCTAGGGGAATGCAAACCAGATGGGACTGGGAGCAGCAGCCAGCCACCCCTCTCCAGGCTCCTGTTTGGGTGACGTGCTGGGCCCCAGGTGGAGGTCTGGCCCAGCAGCCTCTGTGGTGGGGCAGGAAAGCCCAGCTCAGAACAAATACCCCCTCCTTGCAGGGTCTGGAGAACTTGACCCCTCACTTCCATCTTCCCCAGCTACCTCTTCACCAGTTTCTCCATAGCCCTTTTTGGGTCTCTGAGCCACAGTTTGTCCATCTGCAGAGTGGACATAAACAGACCCTCTGTCTCATAGGGCAGTTGTGGGTATAAATGTTGCTACTGGGGCTTTGGGAGCGGGGGACGAATTGGCCCAGGACCCACCAGGGAAGGTCACTTTGTGATCTGTCCTACAAAGAGGAAGTGGGTTTCTACCAAAGGGAGAACTAACCAAACACTGTGGCCAGAGAGGAGGAAGACAGGAGTTCTAGCCTGTTCACCGCATCTGCGAGGGCCTTGAGGAGGGTGTGAGGGTCTTTGCCCTCTGCTGGCCTGAGGGGTATCAAGTTTGAATACTGGGACTGAGTGTGCAAGAGACCCTCCAGTCTGTACCCTCCACAGCTCCTCAAGTTGTGCTCACAATGACCGACCCCAAAATTCCCCTGGGAGCCCCTCTATGCGCTACTGGGAGCCCCTCCATGGGTGACTGGGAGCCCCTCTATGTGCGACTGGGAGCCATGAGTTTTCTCTTCATTTGCCCAGGAAGTGACTCACTCCTTCCCTGCCTCCCTGGCCCCCATCCCTCCACCTGCTGCCCCCTATCTGGCCTCCCTGGATTATCTGGGTCTGGGCTGCCCCCATAGCATCTCTAGATCTGCAGAGACTGGATGGATCCCTCAAGCCCTCTCCATACCCCATCTGCTGCCCAGGTGCCCGCACTCACTCCTGCCATCCCTCCCTCCCGCCCTTTCCCTTCTCTGTTTCTCTATCTGGCTCTCCATCTCTCTATCTCTCCATGTCTCTCTGGCATCTGTGTCTCTCTCTTTCTAGGAGTTCCCTATTTCTCAGTCCATCTCTCTAGATCACTGGCTTCTTAACTCTGCCTCTCTGTTTCTCTCCTGTCTCTCTGTCTCTATGTCTCTCTATGTCTTCTGTCTCTCTCTCATCCATTCATTTTCCCGCATCTCTGTCTCCCTCTTTCTCTGCCAAGTCTCTAGTGCCTTCTCTATCTTTCTGTCTCTCTGTTTCTCTGTCTCCTCTTCATTTTCTCTGCATCTCTGTCTCCTTGTCTGTCCTTCTGATGAACAGGTCCTCCTCTCTAGACCCGCTGCTGACTTAAGGAGAACCCCCAGGACATACCCTGGGATGGGGTGCCCTGAGCAGCAGGAAGAGCAGGTTGGGGGGCCCATGCAGCACCACCCCTAACATGAGCCCCCAGCATCTTCCTGTGTGAAGGGAGCCAAGGTGTGAAATATGTCACCACCGGGTCCCAAGCTGGTCGTTGTGGTGGACAGATGTGGGTGCAGTGTGCTTACACCTGTGTCCCTGAGGAAGGGTGTGGGCTGGAGCACCTTAGATTTGGGAGTTCTGAGAGGACACCTGGCCCAACCCCTTCATTTTTACATAAAGAAATGACGACAGTAAGTACTCTGACACACCAGGCAGTACTTAGTCAGCTTAACTCTCACACTCTAGGAAATGGGTCTCCTCTTCATCCCCATTCTACAGAAGGGGAAACTGAAGAACTGAGGCACCTGACCAAGGTCTGGGATTAGAACCAAGGGCAATTGGCTCCAGTATGTTTCCTGAACTGCTTGCTGACCACGGGTCAGCAGAAGCCAAGACCCCTGCTAGGCTCGGGCCCCTCCCCCATCCTTCAGTTCCTGAAAGCCACCATCAGGCGATGGGTGCAGACCCCCTGGCCATGGGCATTGGAGGCCAGGGAGGTGCCACCTGCCCACTCTCTCCTTGAGTAATGGACAGAGCCTGAGCCTGGGAGGGGTGAGCCACCCCTTCCCTCAGATGTGTCAACCTCAGGGCACCCTTCCCCGTTCTGTGTCCTCCTGACCCTCCATCTCTCTGTTCCAGCGCTGTGTGTCTTGCTGATTCTGTTGGAAGATGGATCCAAGAACACCAGGGGTGAGTCTGCTGGGAGTAACTCAGTCCCAGCCAGAGTCCCAACCCCCATCTGCACCTCTCAGCGCAGGCAGAGAAAGGCCTGTTGCAGAAGGAAGCTCAGGGTTGCCCTCCCCAACACCGCTACCCAGCCTCTGGCTCAGCCCTCATCTTCTTTTCATGGTCTCCATCCCACAGCCTCTGCCTGTCCCCAGCAGTGCCCTCCAGACTCCTCATGTGTCAGTGGCACTGCCTGTCACTGTGATCCAGGATTCCAAACTCCATTTGGAAAGAACAAAGTCAATCACGGAGAGATTTGTGAAGGTACAGAGGCTTGGGGTGGTGGAGGGCTACATGGAGACGAAATGATGGTTGGTGGCCTCAGCCTTTGTTCTCAGACCATCATGAAGGACAGAGAAAAGAGAAAGAAAAATATATGAAGGTGGAAAATGAGAAGTGAATAAACATGGCTTCGTACAGAGGGAGGAGCTGGGTTTCCAGGACCCTGGAACTGTTGTATCACTAATCAGCGAGCTGGACAAGGCTCCTTAATGAGCCAATTAGATAGGAGTCATCTTTATTGTGCACAGGTTCAAAGCAGATTACGTCTGTCAAATTCTGAACACCCAAGAGAAGAAGCATTCTCTTTTTATATTTTCTCAGGTCCTTGTATAAGTTATTTTTGCAGACAGCTTGTGACCTTGAGTATATCTCATGTTTAGCAAACACCTGTCATATCTATACCGACACCTGTAATCCTAGTTACATATCTATACCATACCTGGCATCAGTATCAGCGTATCAGTTCCTTATGTTAGATTGCTAACTTATAAAGTTAGACAATTAAGTTTATCTTTTCTATTATTCATACTAAAATAGTTATTTTTACAGAATAAGAGACCATCTAAAAATAACATAGTTGACTTACAGAGCAAGGGGCTATCTAAAAATAGCAGAAAATTTCAAACAGCAGTTTTTCCAAAGGAGGGATCATTACTATGCTTCAGAACCTATGTCTCAGTTTACACTTCCAGGACTGGGGAGGGGGATGCTGAGCTTCCACCCACCCACCATTTTAGCACCTCCTCCTGTATCCAAATCCAGGTGACAGACAGAAAGCTGAGCAGGGCTGAGCTAATTTAGTGGGTTTCAGGAATGGCTTGCTCCAGCCACATCAGGGCTGCCTGAGAGTCTGAATATTTCCTAAAAGACACTGATTGAGCATCAGGCTCCATGCTAGGTATGGAACCAGGCTCTCTGCTCTGAGGGCACACATGGCTTTGGGAGGTGACCCTTTACCCCATTTTATTCCAGACATTGATGAATGTAAACAACGGTTGATAGTGACCTGTGGAAAAGACGCACGCTGCCATAACACAAAGGGGAGCTACTACTGCACATGCAGACTAGGATACAGGCCTGGTTTGGGGGCAACGAAGTTTAGTAATGCAAGTGAGAACAAATGTCAAGGTAAGAATGTCCTGCATCTTCCATCTCCCCGTCTATGAGGTTTGGAGTCACCAGAGCCATTCCTGCATCATACAGGGTGCCAGGCCCTGGATATAGGTGCAGCACCAGGTCTGAGCGGGACAAGTGTGCCTGTGTCTATCCCACTAAAACAGAGAGGTGGGGACCCAGGTCCTGGCTTTGCACTTTGACAGCTGGATATGCAACACCAGCCAGGACACTTATTCAGAAATTAGAGGCCCAGTTCATGAATTCATGCACCAGTGGGGAACCTCAGCCTAGCCTGTGGGATCGTGCCAAAACCGGCTCTCCAATATCCCTGACGGGTCCTGGATTATGAAAAAGTGCAGGCCAGACCGAGGGACCCCACCAGTGCACTATCGGGGTCGGGGAGGACACAGAAGGTTGGCCAGCTGGGTAGGGAACAAGGGAGAGCTCCAGGCGTGTTGAGCCCATCTTGCTCAGTCTGGATCTGCCGGACCACAAAAGCAAGCTAACCTACCAGCCTGAGCATCTGCCCCCTGTTGGTCAGTGCACATCATTGCAAGCCGTTGAGGGGCCTTAGCATATCATTAGCATATTATGCTTTGATTGGTTGAACAGCCTACTGGTCGACCGAACATTTAGCATATTAAGCTTTTATTATATAGAATTACTGGTAATGGCGACATATGATAATATTACTGTGATTGTGTGTGTGTGTGTGTGTGTGTGTGTGTGTGTGTGTGTGTGTGTGTTTTAAAAGAGCACCTAACTTTTACAGATAAAACCAAAAGTAGCTATGCCTTTTTTTTTTTTTTAAATATATTTTTTATTGATTTTTTACAGAGAGGAAGGGAGAGAGATAGAGAGTTAGAAACATCGATGAGAGAGAAACATCGATCAGCTGCCTCCTGCACATCTCCTACTGGGGATGTGCCGCAACCCAGGTACATGCCCTTGACCGGAATTGAACCTGGGACCTTTCAATCCACAGGCCGACGCTCTATCCACTGAGCCAAACCGGTTTCGGCAAAAGTAGCTATGCCTTTTATTAACTGTATGACCTTGGACATGTTCTTTACCGCTCTGTGCCTCAGTTTACCCATCTGTAAAAGGGAGTGACAATGGTGCTTACCTCCCAAAAATGCTGGGAAAGTATATGTGATCATAGAGCACAACATAGTGGTTTGTAGACTATACTCATTCTTTCTCTTTACTTTTTATCTTTATTGCTGAAAGTATTAACCTAAGTCCTATTTTTTCATCATTAATCTCTACCAGCCCCCCCCGCCCCCGCCTTGCCCCCTCAGGTCCTCACCACCTCATGGTCTGTGTCCACGGGTTATGCATAAGTTCATTGGTTCATCTCTTCCCACCCACCCTCCCCTGCCTTCCTTCTGAGGTTCAACAGTCCATTCCATGCTTCTATGTCTCTGGGTCTATTTTTGTTCATTAGCTTTCTTACTTTTCTTTCTCTGACTGGCTTATTTCCCTTAGCATAATACTCTCCAGGTCAATCCATGCTGCTGCAAACGGTAAGAGTTCTTTTTTTCATACAGCCACGTAACATTCCATTGTGTAAATCAAGCATGTCAAACTCAAAGGCTAACAGGGGCCAAATAAATGAGACAATGCAGCCTGCAGGCCACAAATTGGACAAGATTGGTGTTAATGTACCAAAGTTTTTTTTATCCACTCATCTGTTGATGGGCACTTAAGCTGTTTTCAAATCTTAATTATTGTAAATTGCACTGCTATGAACATAAGATTGCATATATTCTTTCTGATGTGTGTTTTGATTTTCTTAGGATATTTTCCTGGAAGTGGGATCACTGGGTCAAATGGGAGTTCCATTTTTAATTTTTTGAGGAAGCTCCATGCTGTTTTCCACAATGGCTGCAGCAGTCTGCATTCCCCGGAGCAGTGTACTAGGGCTCCCTTTTTTCCTCATCCTCACCAACACTTGGCATTTCTTGATCTGTTGATAATAGCCATTCTGCCAGGTGTGAGGTGATATCTCATTGTCATTTTGATTAGCATCTCTCTGATGATTAGTGATTTTAAGCATTTTTTCATATGTTCTTTGGACTTCTGTATGTCCACTTTGGAGAAGTATTAATTTAGGTCCTTTTGTCAATTTAATTGAACTGTTTATCTTCCTTTTGTTAAGTTGCATGAGTTCTCTGTATATTTTGGATATTAACATCTTATCGGATGTGTCATTGGCAAATGTGTTCTCCCATGCAGTGGGCTCTCTTGTTGTTTTGTTGATGTTTTCTTTTGCTCTGCAGAAGCTTTGGATTTTGATATCGTCCCATTTGTTTATTTTCTCCTTAGTCTCCATTGTCCTAGGAGATGTATTAGCAAACATATTGCTACAAGAGATATCTGAGATTTTGGCGCCTATAGTTTCTTCTAGGATTTTTATGGTTTCACATCTTGCATTTAAGTATTTTGTCCACTTTGAGTTTATTCTTGTGTATGGTGTAAGTTGGTGGTCTAGTTTCTTTTATTGCAAGTACCTGTTCAATTTTCCCAACACTATTTTTTTTATTTGATTTGATATATTTTTATTGATTTCAGAGAGGAAGGAAGAGGTAGAGAGAGAGAGAGACATCCATGATGAGAGAGAATCATAGATTGGCTGCTTCCTTCAAGTCCCCCACTGGGGATCGAGCCCACAACCCAGGCATGTGCCCTTGATCAGAATCGAACCTGGGACTTTTCAGTTTGAAGGCCAATGCTCTATCCACTGAGCCCAACTGGTTAGGGCCCAACACTATTTATGAAAGAGACAGTCTTTCCTCCATTGTATTTTCTTACCTCCTTTGTCAAATATTAATTGAGCAAATGGCTTGCGTTGACTTCTGGGTTCTCTGTTCTGTTCCATTGATCTATATGCCTGTTCTTGTGCCAGGAACAGGCTGTTTTGAGAACAGTGGCTTTGTAGTATAACCTGATATCTTGTCTTGTGATCCCTCCAATGTTGCTCTTCTTTCTCAGTGTTGCTGCAGCTATATGGGGTATTTTTTGGTTTCATATAAATTTTTGGAGTATTTGTCCCAGGTCTGTGAAATATGCTATTGGTATTTTAATACACATTGCATTAAATATATAGACTGCCTTGGTTAGCATGGACATTTTTATGATGATTATTCTACCAATCCATGAGCATGGTATATTCTTCCAGTTGTTTATATCTTTCTCTAGCTCTTTTCTCAACATCCTGTACTTTTCTGAGTACAGGTCTTTTACCTCCTTGGTTAAGTTTATTTCTAAGTATTTTAATGCTTTTGTTGCAGTGGTAAATGGGTTTATTTTTTTAGTTTCTCTTTATGAGAGTTCATTATTCGTGACTAAAAATGCCATGGATTTTTGGGTGTTAATTTAGTATCCTGCTACTTTTCTGAATTCATTTATTAAATCCAGTAGTATTTTGGTGGAGGCTTTAGGGTTTTCTATGTACAGTATCATGTCATCTGTGAACCATCAGAGTTTTACTACCTCCTTTCCAATTTGGATGCCTTTATTTCTTCTTCTTGTCTAATCACTACGGCTAGGACTTCCACTATTATGTTGATCAACAGTGGTGAAAGCAGATATCCCTGTCTTGTTCCTATTCTTAGGGAAAATGTTTTTAGTTTTTGCCCATTGAATATGATATTGGCTGTAAGTTTGTCATACATGGGTTTTATTATCTTGAGGTATGATCCCCCTATTCCCATATTGCTGAAAGTTTTTATCAAAAAAGGGTGTTGTATTTTGTCAAATGCTTTTTCTGCACCAATTGATATGATCATGTGATTTTTGTCTTACAATCTGTTTATGTGCTGTATCACATTTATATATTTGTGAATATTGTATCAGCCTTGCATTACTGAAATAAATCTCACTGGGTCATTGTGTATGATCTTTTCAATGTATTGCTGGATCTGATTTCCAAAAATTTTGTTGAGGATTTTAGCCTCTATGTTCATCAGTGATATTGGCTTGTAATTCTCTTTCTTTGTAGTGTCTTTATCTGGTTTTGGGCCTCATAGAAAGAACTTGGAAGTGTTCCTTCCTCTTGGATTGTTTGAAGTAATTTGAGGAGGATAGATGTTATTTTTGTTTTGATAAATAACCAAATAAATATTTAGTAAAACTCCCCTATGAAACTGTCTGGACTGGTGCTTTTGTTTGCTGGAAGTTTGTTGTTTTTTGTTTTTGTTGTTGTTGTTTTTTACTTCAATTTCATAGGAGGTTATTGACCTATTAATGTTTTCTGATTCTTCCTGATTGAGTTTTGGAAGGTTGTATTTTTCTATTTTCTATATGTCCATTTATTCTAGGTTGTCCAGTTTGTTGGAATAAAGTTGTTCATAGTATTTCTTTTTATGATCCTTTGTATTTCTGTGGGGTCAGTTGTTACTTCACCTCTTTTCTTTCTGATTTTCAGTCCTCTTTGTTTCCTAGTGAGTCTGGCTAGTTCATTAATCTTCTTTATTCTTTCAAAGAACCACCTCTTGGTTTTATTGGTTTTTATGGTTTGTTTGTTGGTTGGTTGGTTTTTGGACTCTGTGTCATATATTTCCTACTTTCTACTTACTCTCAACTTTTCTTGATGTTCTCTTTCTAATTCTTTAAGTTGTAATGTTAGATAACTTATGAGCTTTTCTTGTTTTTTGAGATAGGCCTATAGTGCTATGAATTTTCCACTTGGGACTGCTTTCACTGTGCCCCATAGATTTTGGATTTTTGTGTGTTCATTTTCATTTGTTTCCAGGATGTTTTTTATTTCTTCTTTGGTAACCCATTTATTGTTTAATAACATGCTATGTAGCCTGCATATGTTTTATTGTTTTGGGGTGCTTTTATTAGAAATTAGATTTCTAATTTCATGTCATTGTGGTCTGAGAATATACTTGATATGATTTCAATCTTCTTGAATTTGTGGAGACTTAGCATGTGTCCTAACATGTGTTCTGTCTTTGAAAATGCCCCTTGTGCACTTGGGAAGAATGTATATGCTGTAGCTTTGGGGTGGAATATTCTAAAGATGTCAATTAGTTTCATCTGCTCGAGTGTGTAACTTAGGATTGCTGTTTCATTGTTGATTTTTTTGTCTAGAAG